TACTGTTGTTGTTATTGTTGTTTTATAATTGTTGTTTATAATTTGTATAATTAACCTCCCTGTGGTTCGACCCCGGTCTTGCCGGGTTATTTTTTACTTCGACACTCCTGCACTTGGGAGAAGACATCAATCTTTTAGTCGTGTCATGTTGCACTAATAATTTGCTACTCCTTTTTGGTTTGTGATGAACTTTAAATTAATAATGCTATTATAAAAATCTAGGTACTATTACAAATATTAGAACTCAAGCAACATAATCATAATGACTTTGTTTTTTATATTTTAAAAAATTAAATGTTTAATTCATCTTTTTCAAGTGACTCTTATCCAAAATTACTTCTCGTTATTTGGCCTAATGTAATCTTAGACATCTCATATAAATATCAAAATTTTCAGGACATCCTCTATGAATAATCATAACTCTAGCTAAACCTTTATGGTTGTTTCTTACCTCCAGCAAACCCTTATTCTTGCCATTAACTTATAAATCTTACAATATTTTTCTTGTCTCTTCATTTTTATGATTATAGAACCAACATTTCAATCTCTTAAATTTAAGTAATTTGCATTAACATGATTTTAAGAATTTAATAAAAATAAGACGACAAACACCTACCTGCTCTTTTTTGTAGGTCTAACTCCTCTTGCCTGTGATTCTACTTCTGAAACCTTACTTGTATCAATAAGAAGCATTTCATTAATAAGTCATTCCATTCATTTACTTAAGAAACTCTCACTTTAATTTCTTTTTCAACTTATTTTACATAATAGTATTCTTTTTCATCATTCTTTAAGTTTCACACCATATATACATGTTCACAAAATACATTTAAATCACTATTTTATACTTCTCAAACATTTATTTATTTTTAACACAATAAAGATTAAAATCACTATATAAATGCGCACGTTGACAATTATTCATATCAATATTTTTCACCCATATAAATTATCATCCCTCACATTTATCCAATTTAAATCTATTTCTCATTCTTAAGCCCTTCTTAAAAATATATTAACAATTTAGATTCCCACTAACAAGTTCTAAAATCATTCCCACATATTATTTCCTCCCTTTACATGCTAACACTTTCAATTCATGCAAATCTCCAATCAATTAACCAAAACTCCCTTAAACTTCTTAGTCCAGGTCATTGGAAACTCAACTGCAATTAAATAAAATAAATAAATTTACTTTAAATCAATAAGTATTTATTTGGTTCTCACCCTTTCCCATTTCCCTTTTAATGTGGCTAGCCATTATGTTCAACAAAACACCAAGTTAGTTTTCTTTGTCAAATGTACATAATTTAGAATCATTTACATCATATTCCATCCCAATAACATCGTACTATCACAATTTCACATTTCCCTCCAATTTATCATGTAAGAACCTAATTTAAAATTAAAGAATGTTGCCTAAAATTTGTTAATCTTCATTTAGCTTGTACAAACATGGTCATAGCTTTTTACCCAATACTTTTATAAACTTTAAATGCTAACCAATCAATTTTTTTTTTGCTCCTCCTTTTTTTCTTCTTATGTCTCGAGCTTTCTCTCTTTATTCTCTTTTTCTTGCTTAATTCTTCTCTTAAATCTTTTGTTTTAGGTGTGTTTAAACACTTATTCCTTTATCTATCTTACCCTAATTATTGATTTCTCTCAAGGATTTTTAATGGTGGAAGCTCAATTATTTTTTCTTCCTCCCTTATTTTCTAGCCCTAGTCAATAGTTTATAGGAGAAAAAGAAACATAAATTTTCAACTTATTCAACTTATTTACATAAATATCATTCATAAGTCATATGTTATTTTTTTGTTAGACTTTTGACATTCTTGTATAGTTTTTCTGAACTTTGATTGTCTTAAAATTCTAATATAAGATAAAAAAAAAATTAGAAAACTCCTTGTAAAATCTAAATTTGATCTGAAATTATGATTGTAAATTATGTTTGATAACGTAAAACTAGTTGGTAGGTGATTTTACATCAAAGTTTGAATTTTCTTATGTTGAATTTTCTTTTGTCATTATTGCATGTAATAAGTTATTCCATTAAATTTTGGAGATCATTTCTTTATTTTAAAATATATTTCTTTATTTTTTCATCATTTAATTTGTTTATGAACTTATTAGTATTTCACAATAACATTACACCAACACTTTTTTATATTTTTTTTATTAACTACGATCACATATTTAAACTCATTTTAATTTTTATTTACTTATTTTCCAACGCTTTTTTATATTTTTTTTTATTAACAATGATCACATATTTAAACTCATTTTAATTTTTATTTACTTATTTCCTTTTGTTTCGTTTTAGATCTCTTGAGGTAGGTTTACATATGAGATTTCTTTTCCTTCTTTTTTCTTCTCTTGTTCATTTAATTTTTTTATTAAATATATTCTAAATATAAAAAAATTATAAAATTTGCATTTTTAATCACGATAGGTAAAACTATGATAATCTGTTAATTTTTTTAATTATTTATTATTTCATTAATATTTTTTTAAAAACAAAAAATAATAATAATAAGCGGAAATTTAAAGAAAAAACCCACGCCAAAATCGGAAACAAGCAGGCAGCACGCTTTAACAGCTATAAATGGCAGCCCTTTCTTTAAACATTGAAGCTCCTCCTTCTCTCTCTCTCTCTCTCCCCCCCTCCCCGTCCCTCCCCGCGCCATCCACCGGAAGTTCCTTAACTTTTTCTCCATTTCCCCTTCACATACGAATAAAATACAGTCACTCAATCACTTCTTAGTCCTTCCAGCTTCTCTAGACTGCGATCCCATTAACAATATATAAAAAGAATTCCAAACAAAACATCAACCTCCTTTCCCTTTCCCCCTTTTTCTTTATCAAAAGCAACCCATTTCGACTCTTCATCCCAAACTATACAACGATGGTAGACGTGGACCGGAGAATGACCGGCCTTAACCCGGCCCATATTGCCGGTTTACGCCGTCTCTCCGCTCGAGCCGCTGCCCCATCAACTACAACAACACTCCCAGCTCGCAACAGCCTCCTTTCTTTCTCTTCATTAGCTGATAAAGTAATAACCCATTTGCGCAATTCTGGTATCCAAGTCCAGCCCGGTCTTACCGATTCTGAATTCGCTCGATCCGAAGCTGAGTTCGGCTTCGCTTTCCCACCTGACCTCCACGCCGTCCTCTCAGCTGGCCTCCCTGTCGGCGCTGGATTCCCCGACTGGCGTTCTGCAGGTGCACGCCTCCACCTACGCGCCTCTCTTGACCTTCCTATCGCTGCTATTTGCTTCCAAATTGCACGAAACACTTTATGGTCGAAATCTTGGGGCCCGAGACCTTCCGACCCGGAAAAAGCCTTACGGATCGCTAGAAATTCGCTTAAAAGAGCCCCTCTTTTGATTCCCATTTTTAACCATTGTTACATTCCTTGTCAACCATCATTAGCGGGTAACCCGATTTTCTTTGTCGATGAAAATCGGATCTTTTGTTGCGGGTTGGACCTATCAGACTTTTTTGACCGTGAATATCTTTTCCGGAGCTCGAAATGTGACCCGATTATTATAAAAAAGCAGAAGTCTGTTAGTGAGAAATCTACTGGTTTATCCAATAATCTCTCGCGGAAGAGTTTGGATACGGGTCTGGTAAACGGGTCGAGGACACCCAGATGGGTAGAGTTTTGGAGTGACGCGGTGGTGGACAGGAGGAGGAGGAATTCAGCATCGTCTTCGTCGGGATCTTCGTCGCCGGAACGGTTTTTTGAGATGCCAAGATCCGAAATACCGAGATGGGTGGGGGATTATATACAGAAAATCGGGTCGGTTTTGAGAGAAGGCGGGTGGAGGGAGTCCGACATCGATGAAATGGTTCAAGTATCGGCATCGGGTTTCTTTGAGGGTGAAATGGTAATTTTAGATAATCAAGCAATCCTAGATGCTTTGCTTTTGAAAGTGGATCGGTTTTCGGACTCGCTCCGCAAAGCTGGGTGGAGCTCCGAGGAAGTATCGGATGCTTTGGGGTTTGATTTTAGAGCAGAGAAGGAGAGGAAACCGGTGAAAACATTGTCGCCTGAACTTGTTGAGAAAATTGGGAAATTGGCTGAGTCGGTTTCCCGGCGGGGATTAAAGTGACATCACAAATATCTGCGTGTGTTTTTTATGTTTTATTTTTTTCAAGGGTTTCTCGGGGTTGGGTTTTTTTTTTTTTTGTCAGATAGAAATGGGAAACTTGAGAAATTCATGTATATGGGGAAACGAGTTGTACTATGAATTGAAGCGAATGAAAGACTTGCAAGGGAGAAAGGAAAAGGAGAAGTTCCAATCTCTATATGATCCATGTTGTATAAATAGGGAAATGAATATATATATATATATATATATATATGTTTTTTTTTTCAATTTATGTTCTTTTCTTTGCTGTCATGGAGTGATATATACATAACTATTTTGGTGAGAGTAAAAAATATTTTTTTATTTAAAAATATATTAAAAAAATATATTTTAAAAATATATTTTTAATATCAATATAATAAATTAATTTAACTAATTTAATAAGTGGTTGCTTATAATGCATTGAGCTTGTTTAGTATTGTTGTAATAGTTAATTTTAAAAGTATTTTTATCTAAAAATATATGAAAATAATATATATATATATATATATATATATTACAAAATATTATTTTAATATCAGTATTTAAAAAGATCTGAAAATAAAAAATTTTAACTTTTTTTAAAAATAAAATAAAAAAATAGATAGGATAACAGGATATTGAATGAAGAGCTTGTGCTATATAATGGAGCTTAACTTGCTCAACTCTCTAAATCGGCATAAAGTGCACGTGTGCTCTTTATTTTTTAATAGAAAGAGAGACGTTACTGGGACCCATCCCTCTGTGTGTGTGTGTGTGTGCGCGCGTGTGCAGAATGTGTTTGGGAGTTGTGAGCGGGAACAAGCAGGCCTCCAATGGGAAAATGTTAGCCGTTGCCTGGTGCATTATAAAGACCTACTGTTAGAACTTACCATTATCAAGGCAAACCCAAGTGTCGTACTCCGGCGTCGTTTAGCCACACAAAATGTCGTTTTTGTTTTTGTTTCTGTCTGTGTCTGTGTCGTGCGTTAGCTTTTGCTTTTATATTTTTCTTTTCCAGGTTAGGAATTTCTTGGGAAAGAAAAAAAAAAAGAGAGAGAGAGAGAGAGAGAGAGAGAAAGGTAGAGAGTGGCATACAAAAATCTTGTTTGATTTTGATACAAACCAGCAGTGGCTACCACGCGAGTGGTAAATTAGAGTACTTTCCGCTTCTTTTAAGAACGATACAAATTTTGAGTCTTGACAGAGAAAAATTGGATGCTAGTGGTAGCATTATTTTTGCTTCTCTTGGAATTTGCGATAAAGATATTGGGTTTTCAGAGGAATTGTTTTTGCATTTTAATAAAGTGTTTTTAAAAAGGAATAATTTTTTTATAATTTTAATTGGTTTCATAAGCTACTATTAAAAATAAATTTTTAAAAATAAAAAATATTATTTTAATATATTTATAAAAATATATATTTTAAAAAATAAATTTTACAACGTAAACTCCTCACCATAAGATTTTAAGTGTATTTAAAAATGTTGTTTTAAAATATTTTTTATTTAAAAATATATTAAAATAATATTTTCTTTAAAAAAATTATTTTTAATATTAATGTATTAAAATAGTCTAAAAATAACTAAAAGTATTAATTTAAAGTAAAAAATTTAAATATTTTAAATATTTTTCAAATAAAAAAACAAACAGTGACTCAAAAAAACACAGATACGACAGAGATTGTTTTTGCTGTCCGTGTGTGTTTTTTATGGGTGGAAAATTGGGATGTGAAAGGCATTGGCAGCCTGTTTTGGAAGGTAGCAGCCCGTATGGAAATATCTGGAGTGGGGGCCACATTTGCGTGTGGGGTCCTCAAGAAGGCCCTGAGATGGGATAGTTAAGGAGGAAGCCAAAGGTGGTCTTTCACAGTTTTCACACCCCCTTGTTGTTTTTTTTTTTTTTTGCTTGCTTGCTGTTGGGGAAGGAGATGAGAGTGGTACCAGAACGTGCTGTTTTCTTTTTGTCAATGATCAATTTGTAAACACTCGGGGAAGCATCTAATCCAGGGCGGTTGGGGGTCCACATGTGGAGGAGCGTTAAGACTGGTACGGTCTCCGGCAGAGTTTTGGATTTTTAGGTCATATAATTTTGAAACTTGAGGTCGGGCAATGGGAATAGTGGCTTGAACTTTTAAGCCCTTTTTCTGTACCAAGTTGGGCCACATTTCTCCTCCTAGAGGTTTCTAACTTTCATGTTATGCTTGCGTTGTGTTTAATGGCTTCCCTTTTGAGGTGAAAGTGAATTTCATTGCAATCACGAATCATTGAGCTCAAAAGTCGGTTTTGTTGTGTGAATTTATGGCATATTTTCTACTAGACTTTTCAATACTAATAATGTGGTTTAGTTACTTGGTCAAATTTCCATCCAAAATTATTGGGAACGCTTTCTACTTTATTTTACTACTCTTGTGGCTTGGTTGTGTAGCATCCAATGATAATGGAGAGGGCAATCTCTTCTTGGACTTCTAACTCCCAAATTGTTTCTATGGGATATGCGTTTCATGACCCAAATCTCGACCGATTTTGTGTTTATTGTCATTAGGTGATGCTAATGATATGATTATTGGTACTACCAAAATTGAGAATTGATAAGAAATGTAGTAAAGACAAACCATGGCCTCCCATTATTAAGTTTGGAGTGGCTGGTATCTCCAATGATGTGCCAAATGAAATGAACATGCAAAGCACTAATGAGTTTTTCAATATATATATATATATATATATATGCAAACTTAACAATAAATTTAAAATCTTTTGGAGTTCCAATTATTTTGATAGACATATCTAGAGTTATTTAGCGTTTATCTAAAAATCATATGTTTTTTTACTATGAATAATTGCTTCAACGTTGAATTATCACAAATCACAAGTTATTTAAATATTTGATCTCTAACAATAATTTACACCAATCACCAGTAAAAAATCTTTTAAACCTTTTTAGAAGAAAGAGATTGATATATCTTAGAATGCTACTTCTTTTTTTGTATTTTTTGTGTTTCTGTATTGTACTCTACTCAGTTTAGAAAATAAGATGTATAACATTATATTTGTAAGGAAATCTAAAAACTCTATAAATAACAAATATCAATTTACCTTTTAAATAATATCACATATATTATTTTAGAATAATTTTAGAAATTTTTTGAATTAAGTCCCTACTTGATTTTTTCTAGGTTTAGAATTGTAATTCACTGTATTAATTATTTTTTAGTCTTTAATTTCTAAAATTTATTTACAATCAAGTCACACTTAATTAATTATCCTATTTTAATTTCTGATTAATGGCTTTTATATATGTGACCCATAGGTTTCCTAAAAAGTTGGTCTAAATAAAAATTATAATTCTAAATAAAATAATTTAATTTGTTATTAGTTTAATAATTAATTGATTTAAATTTCAAGATTATGTATAATATCTAACAACCTATCATGATTTTCTAAATATTAAAAACATCATAAATGATTTAACTTAACCTTTCAATGATCAGTTTCTCAATATAATTATCATCCTTTTATCAAGAATGTTTTGATCTAGACATTATTGCATGGAGTATTTCTACTTTGTTAAATCATTTTAGTTCTTAACACTATAGAGATTGATTCTTTGAATAAGATTTGAAACTTTTTTTTTTCTCGAATTTCATTCCACTTTGACCAAGGATTTTACAATCAATAATATTTGAGAATATATAAAATATTTTTTATAATTCATCTAGGGTGATGGATCCTTTTTTGATTACTTACATATCTTCGTATAGTTTATGTTACACCTAATATTTACTCGTTTGTTACCCTTAATTAAGATAACATATGGTTTGGATCAAATCATAACATTTTCTATATAAAACATCTTAGTAATTTTAAGTCTAAAGATCACTTACATAATTATCTTATGAGCTTTTTCACAAGTATAGATAATCCCTCCATATAAAATCCTCTTACAATTTAGTTTAAAATACATGTTATCTGACAAACACCTATATATTAGTTTCAGGTATCTCTCATACCTCAATTTATTAGAGTAATTACTTTCTTATATAAAGTAAGAAACATAATATATATCGGTCTTAATAACTCTAATAAATATCCATTCTTAATTAAATATTAACCATAAATATTTAAGAACAATGTTTTGATTCATAAGAAATCTTATAATTAAACAACTTTCTTATACAAAATATTTTTGTTCATAAACTTTATCTTTCTCTATATTTATTAATCAAATATAATTGAATATTAAAGATAAAAAAAAATACTTTATTAATAATTAATAATAATTATGTTTTATATTAATAAAACTAATGCTATGTATAACCAACTAATTAACTACAGGTATATTCAAAAATAGTATCATGCTAACAAACTTATCCATATATCCACAGGTGGCTATAAATATTACAATGATTTGAAAGTTAAATCAATCGATACTAGTTTAAATATCTATTTATAAAGGTTTACTATTGTTCATTTGATATTAGTATTTTTGCTTCCTTTCTCCTTTGAAAAATTCCATAAATCATGAGTTAAGTTGCATTTTTAAACCCTCACATAAAAGTAGGGCCATAGAAAGTAAGGTCCTGATAAGTAATGGAAACTTGAGATTAAAGTAAATGAATTATTGATGAAAAGTGTAAGTCAGTGTGTAAAATCTATAAGGATAGTCAAGTAAATATTATATTAAAGTGAATTGACTATTTACATCAAGAGGATGATGATAGATTTTGAAATGTAAAATAAATATTGATGTGTTAATTATAAAAATAAAAATAGAAAAAATGACTGAAAAATAAAAAAAGCACAAAATGTGAATAAAAATTAAATAAAAGCTATTTATGAGAAAAGAAGAGCTATGGGATAAATGTTAATGAATTTTGATTTTTTCCCAATCAAAATTTGGTTTAATCAAGCATTAGGATATGAAAAATATGATCCAACGAATATAAAATGATACAAAGGAAACTAATAGCATGATAAAGTAGCTATAAACATGGAGAATATTAAGAAAAGTATTTTTAAATTTTCAAATAAATTAATATATGGTTTTATGTGTGAAAGACCTTGACTGCTAGTATAAGCCCTATGCATAATCATGCAGTTTTTAAATTGAAAAGAGATGAAATTTAGGGAAAAATTATATTACAAATAAGGATGGGATTTCCTAATAAATTACTTAAAATATAGATGAATTAAGTGGGTAAAA